TCACCTTTTCTCGTGCCACCATAAAACAGTTAAAACATCCATTATGACTTTCATGTTTCTAAGAGCCTTCAGAATATATCATCATACAACCCTTGATGAAAAAATCAAAAACATCTATACAATCTTCAAACGGCTATAATATTCTATAGGTTTTTATCAAAAATGCCCTTCATAAGGCAAGGCAGACATTCTGTAGAAACAATAGCCAGCAAACAGCATCATCTACATATGGAAATAAGAAGAAAATACTCAACGTCAACTACAGTTCTAATATTGTGCTTCTAGAGAAATGTCTCAAAAACAACAATTTCAAGATTGTTTATAAATATCCCAACACCTACTTTCGAAAATAAAGAACAAAAAGTCTATACAGTTCTCTGTCAGTCTTGTGACCAAGTTTATGTTGGTGAAACGGGTAGGAATTTAATATTCGCAGAACATAAAAGGGATATTAAAAATGGTCAAACAAATAATGTTATTTTTCTTCACATGAGAAATCTTGATTATATAATTAACTGGAAATCTGCCAAAATGATACATAAAACTAGAAATTATGTCAAAAAAAAATTGTAGAAAGTTCGTTAGTTTAAAAATTGCCAAACTTCAACATCTCAGAAGGTCACTATAAATTGAACCCCTTACTGACATCATATGCCCTCAAAGGACTTGAAACGACCGTTATAAAATAATCTGAATGTGTTTCTCTCACAAAGAAAAGTTGGACTAAAGAAGACACGTGAATCTGTCGAAACTTGTTTGTTTCTTTGAAGTAAAGCACAAAGCTACACTCTTCCCACCACGAGTATCGAAACCCGGTTTCTAGCGTTGTAAATCCGCAGACATACCGCTGTGCCACTGGGGAAACAATAGTGGATGTAAACTTTATTTTATTTTATATTACTCTACGCGGTATTGTTTGTAATTAAGCACAAAGCTACACAATGGGCTATCTGTGCTCTGCCCACCACGAGTATCGAAACCCGGATTCTAGCGTTGTAAGTCCGCAGACATACCGCTGTGACACGGTCTTGTCTATTTACTTGTTAACAGTAGATATCCAATATCGTTTGAAAACTGGCTGTTTGTCTAAAATAGCTTATTTTAAGTAATACACACTTCTTGTAATTATTTTATACTTGAAGGGTGTGAGATTAGAGAAACTGAAGTACGAAACTAAGAGTGTGATTAATAATTATCAAACTAATATTTTGATGTGATTTATATGAAATTTGACTGTAAAGCCGCTTCACTATAAGGGCGAATCCTTTAAAGTTTTCTTGTTAGAAATAAGTTAGCATGATGTCAAAACAGCTCTACTTAGTTCAACTTATAATTTTGATGTGCTACATCTTTTATACAACTATATCAAGTTATGCTACACGTACATCTTGATATTGCTATTCAGGGGTTAAAGTGTAAAGCTGGAGCTACCAGGTTATTCCTCTTAGAAAACTTTAACACATCAAAAACCTCAGAAGCATGGCCATTCATTATTTCAAGATGTTGATGATCTTTTAATACACTTCTAGGGAAATCATTTTTACAAAGGCATTCTTTAATGTAATTCAACTCATTGTAAAACAGTTTCTAATTATTCACTTATTTATGGGCACGGTTAACTAAGATTTTAATCAAGCTTTGTAAATCAAAGGTACAAAATAAATGTATACCTCTTTTAGATGTTAGAACTTTTACAGTAAGGAAAAATTTATATATTTTATTAAATTGGTACAACTTTTCGGTCGCTTTTGCGATTGTTCTCAACTACACAGATTTTAACGGTAAAGAAGATTTTGGAATTAAATCAGAGTTAAACAATGTTTTTAAATTGGAGAATCGATAGTCGTTAGTTATGCATGTGAATATCAATACGCGTGAATTGATAAATAATTTATTTATAACTTAACAGAAAACACAAAAAGAGTAGATGAAGTTGATCATGTGAAAGATGTGCGAAAGATTTGGATAAGATTAAGGATGCCTGGAGGAATAATAAAACAAGCATAGTATTGTTTCTGGGAATTTGTTAAACTGTTGGGATGTTTGATTTTATTAGTAGGGCTTCTCGACTTTTTCTCCTGTTAATGTCAGGTTCATGTTTTAGTACGTCGACAGTCTGTTCAGAAAAACTGTGGTTGTTTTTATTCATGGACGTGAGACGTTGGTGTATTTTTAATTTGATGCTCAAACTACGTCCCGTTTCATCTATGGAAAAGTCTAGATAATTGCTGCAGTGTATCTTGTAATTTATTCATCGATATTATCTGTGATGCCTGTAGTGTATACTAAACATGAAAGCTTTTTAAAGTACTTAGTTTCTGATGGATTACATAATTAGAAAACCAGTTTATGTAATTTCTCCTGCGTGCGTTTTTCTATGAATTTTAGAGATTTTTTGGGGTTTCATGTGATGTTAACACTTAAAAAATTATTTTGTAGTTATTTTCATTTTCAACTAGAAATTGTATGTCTTTGTATAGGTTATTTATGTGTTGAAGGAATTTTGTTTGTTCATCTTGACAACAAAAACCGCAGTAAATGTCTACATATCAAAGTCAAAATGAAGGTTAATGTAAAGAAGTTTAAACTGGTTTTCTTCTTGTAAAATCATTTTAACTTTGTGTTGTTTGTAGTTAAGCACAAAGCTACATAGTGGGCTATCTGTGCTCTGCCCACCACGGGTATCGAAAGCCGGTTTCTAGCATTATAAGTTCGCAGACATACCACTGTGCCACTGGTCAAAATTGACTCTGTGGAAAAGTCCTCTGTATAATATCTTTACGAATGCCCAAATTCTAAACTTGAGTACATTGGTTCGAGCGCAGTGATAATCAGTCATATAAGTAGCAGCTCAATATTACTTTACAAACCAGCAAAAATAGTGACCTACGCATACTGGAAACCATTACCATTTAACTTAGAAAATCGGTGCTCAACAACAGAAAGTAGGCTTTACCTCTCAACTTGTTTGAGATAGGAAATCACTGACCTGAATTGATCACAGGAAGGAAATCATGAAATTAATAAATAAACACTAACGACAGTTATTCAAGCATTTCTGATTACATGAAATTAATTGTGCTTACAGGAAATTGAAGAATATTTTGATTTACAAATTGCAATAAAATATCATGCTTACTTTCACCGTAAATCTTTAATTTTTTTTTGTTTGTTTTAGGATGCAAAACTCTGAAAGATATCGAAACCACACCATCTTTAGTGGTGAAAGACAACTATTATTCACGACTCTAAAAACATTTTATGCGGCTTCAAGTCCTGAAATAAACTTCACGCTTATGTTTATTCGATTTTATGTGTGACTATTTTTGGATATTTGGCAAATAAAACAAAGGATTTTATATGTTTCTTTCAATTTTTTAATTTAATGGTGGTACTTAGTGGCAGAAAACATTACATCTCCTATCTTAAATGTAAACATCCTAACTAAATGGTCAAGTGTAATTTAAACTTGAAACCCAAGCATAAATATCTCTGCGATATCATAGCACTTAAAAAAAAATCAGTAACCGGAAAGTTCAAATACCCCTGACTGGTCAAATGTTCTCATCAACTGGAAACAGTGAAGTAGAAAGTTAAATATTTTTAACCTTGTCTCTATCATTCAGTTTATGATATAGAACATTTGTAACTCGACTTCTTTATGTTTTCTTTCTTATGTCTGCTGTGTCTATCAAAGGGAATCGAACCCGTGATTTTAGAATTAAGACTTACCGCTGTCCCACCGGAGGACCAAATTTTTTATACACACACACATATATATACTTATAATTTTTTATACTGAAATTGATTGTCTGAAGAGAAAAATTTATTAGTAGTATTATAATAAGGGTTCTGAACTTCGTAAGCAAAAGTTAATATGCTTGCTTTAACGAGAAAATACGAGACTAACATAAAATTTTATTGCATAGAAGCACTTTATCATCATTAATGGAAAAATGGCACGTCATCAAATATAGTGCTGCGAGATAATCAGACGTAGGCAAAACTAATTTTACTTAGTAGTATTTTGAATTCTAACCTCTATCAGAAATTCCCAGATCGCCACATCACCTGATTAATCTCATTAACAGAAAGGGAGAGCTAGAAAGTTTGTCTCAAAATATTCTTCTCTGGATGCAAATCTGGGATTATTCATCCCTGTCCTACTTATTCTGGTAAGTATTTCTCACATACTGTATGACTACACATACGTGAACTGCCAACCCCCTGAGATATGACTTTACACTTTACATTCTGCTCACCTTTACAACACCTTAGCAGCACAGGGGAGATTCTTTTGACAGTCCCTTTCTGCACCGCCACTTGTATCGGGTGAAGAGTATTCTTTGCTTAAGATAGATGTGATATCCCACTAAGTACCCCCCCCCCCCCCACAACGGAGTGAGTGACACACTCCTCGAGTTTTCCTTTTGATTTCTTTATTCTCCGAAAGGATTTTATTTTTTATTTTTTGTATATATACACTGGTCCCTTGATTAAATGTGAAAATAGGGATCCTAGAAACTGGTTTTCTTTCTGTTTGTTTGTTTTATGGAAATTTTCTGTGAAGCTACTAGTGCAGTATTTAAGCTAGTCATCCCTAATTTTGAAGTGACAGACTAGAGGAATGACAGCTAATCAAGAGTGCCAACTCTTTAGTTACCCTTTTACAACGAATAGTGGGATTGAATTTAACATAATAACGCCCCCCCACAGCTGAAAGAGCAAGTACATTTATGCGTCTGTTTTCAATCCTGTAACCTATTGCAAGACCCATTCGGCTGGTTGTATTCACTGGGAATAATCTGGTTCTTTGTGTAGGGAGTAGCCTGTGATGCACTTTCAGGTAGACTCCCCTGCACTGCTTTTGTTCAAGCATTTCATTCACTTGGTCTCATATCAGTGAGATTACACTTACCCAAAGGGGAACTCTCCAATTTTGATCTCCCCAGTATTGAGCTACTGGGGAAGCAAGGGTTCCACCAATCCAATGGAAGAAAACGGGGAGGATAAATTTGTATAGAGAAGAACACCATAGAAGAGCGTGAATTAAATGAGAATTATCTATCACCTCATAAGGTCTTATACTGAGAGACTGTTTAATGGGTTGCTGCAAATAGGGACATCAAGAGCTGGACAGGAGTGATGTGAGGGTACCACCCCTGGTGCTAGTTTTTGCTTGGAAGGAGAAGTATGGGTTGAAAGGTAAATATAGTAGCTGTTGGTTGTTTTTGAATTTCGCGCAAAGCTACACGAGGGTTATCTGCACTAGCCATCCATAATTTAGCAGTGAAAGATTAGATGTAAAGCAGCTAGTCATCACCATCCACCACCAACTCTTTGGCTACTCTTTTACCAATGAATAGTGGGATTGACTGTTACATTATAACGCAGATTACGACTCGAGCGCCGCCACCTGGCCATGCAAGGCCTTATAGTAACTGATGAAACAGTTTCACAGAAAACCTAATCATAACAGTGAGTACTGAGCAGGGGTAGATGGGATTAATGCTTTCTCTTATCCACTACTTGATGTGCATTTTGGGAGAGAAGTACATATGGTGAGTTCTATTGTCTCCAGAATAACAGCAACCTGCCCAAACAAGGCAAAGGAAATGATCAGGGTTTGAGCAACTGTACAGAAAAGAAAGGGGATTGGAGAAAACATCTAATCATCCTTCCAAGCAGCTCAAGACTTGGAGAGGAAGGAGCAATATGGGAAAAATAAAGCTATCCCGCTGATTGGAAACATCTAAGGCAAAAATGTCAGTGACATCTTCCACCAGCAACAAATGAAGAAAATTAAGAAAGAAGGATGCTATAGGGAATAGGCGACCACAGGTTTGATTGGAGAATATGCAAAAGCTCTGAGAGCTAAGCAGTGGTTCCAGCCTGGAAGAGAAGCTGGATAAGAAAACAAAAATGCTTAAAAAGAGCCAAAAGAACTGGATAAAGAAGGGAGATTAATCAGTGAAGACAGAATTGCGTTTACAAAAGGTTATCTGTAACCAGTAATCATAGAAACAGATACACCACACTCAAGAGCTGGGTACAAAGATTGTTTGTTTGTTTTGAATTTCGTGCAAAGCTACACGAGGGCTATCTGCACTAGCCATCCCTAATTTAGCAGTGTAAGACTAGAGGGAAAGCAGCTAGTCATCACCATCCATCGCCAACTCTTGGGCTACTCTTTTTACCAACGAATAGTGGGATTGACCATCACATTATAACACCCCCACAGCTGAAAGGACGAGCATGTTGGTAGGATGGGGATTCGAACCCGTGACCCTCAGGTTACGAGTCGAAGTGGCAAATGGGCCAGCATCAATAAATCGTCCACTTGTCTTTATAAATTGCAAGGGTGGATAGCTAACAACAGCAAGCAAGAAAAATGGGCTACTCTGCAAGAAAAACATACCTGTCTTGCAAGTAACTGGAAGAAAGCCACACATGAAAGATGAAGTAATGGAACATTCTGGGAAAAAATGGATGTCAGAGGCTGACATTAAAAAAATAGAGACCTCTAAGAATAAAGATATAGCAGTCTCATAATTGCCAAAAAGTAAAGGAGAGACAACTGCAATTGGGCTGACCAAAGAAGGCAAGGAGTGTTGTGAATTAAAAACAGCTACCTGGAAAGAAGCTGAAGGACAGGCATACAGAAATAGGTTGGACAAATCCAAAGTATTAATGTATAATGCCAAGACCATAGAGTCTGAGAATGGAGATCCCAATTGAAGTGGATGTTTGGTGTAGAGAGGAGTCACAAATATAGAAGATGTAAAGACCACTCTCTTTGAAGGATTCTATGAGGGTGAAAAAGCTAACCTACTAATAAATTCAAAACTTCCAGAACATGAAATGCCAACAATCAGATGTTATGGTCATAAGCCCAAAAATGGAGCTCAAGAACAAGTGATCAGAGGTTCAGAGAGCGAGTACCATTTGGTTTATGTATGAAATTATAGTGAATTTGTTGAAATAGATCAAAATAGAATATATAAATATCTGTAGCAAAAAATATTGGCAGACTTAAGAAAGACAAAGGAAGCTCCTGTGAGAAAAACTGTGACCCAACAGTGTATGAACCAAGTTCCCATAGGATCACAGCAGAGCTTCATGATGGCTGGTCTCTCAAGAGGGGACACCAAGAAGAAGCCATAGGATGAGAAACTCTTCAAAAGCCAAAGTATGAGAAGAAGAAAATTCTCAAGCTGGGAGAAGAGATTCGAGGGATAATAGCACCAGAAAAGAGGATGAATTTCAACCACAGATACAGAGAAAGTCTTAAGGTCCATGAGTGGTAACTGATAGTCAAAATGAAGCAGAGACAAATAATTACAATAATGCAATAATCAGAAGAGGGAAGAAAAATCAGATGCATGCAAGAAACTCATTTGAGAGTCAGAAGAAACATCTGAAGAAAGCAAATGTCACATACCTCAGTTAACTGAGCACAAAGGTGGATGTTACCTGTCCTCAAATACATATTGTTGGAATAGATGGTTAAGGTCGTTCAAACAGAAGACAGACCACGAGATCTTGGTCCAAGATGAAGAACATAGGATAGAACCAAATACATGATGTACAATGATGGAAACATTGCTCACTAATGAAATAACTTCAGCTATTATGAAAGGAAAATAAGACAATTCCAATGAAAGAGTGCTTGGACCATGGAAAGTTTTAGAAACAAAGATATGAAAAGTCAGATTCAATAAGTTCCACAAAACTGAATTCATGGAAAGAAATATTATTATAATTTCTACATTTTTTTAATGAGGTCTAGCATGTCCATGGTACTTAAACCTTGACCAATTTCATACTGACAAAACTGTGATTAATTATTTGGTTTCTGCCAAAATCCAAACACTGTGTAAATGATATTGAGGAATATTCCTGTCACATCATAGACTCTTAGAACAAATATTCCATATTCGTTTTTTTCTTGAAATTGAGAAAATGAAGGTAAGAAAAATATTAATTTAAACAGTAATAAAAATCTGAAAATAACAAGGGCAAAATTGCTGTAATTTGTAATGAAAAAGAAAATTGCTGAACAATGCAGTGTCAAGGAAAAGAATGGACTTTTTGTATACACACAAAGCTCAAGGGGAGTACTGCACATGAAAGATGAGTTGTCCTCCTACTGGTGGAGGGCATATATCTAATTGCTGTTTTGCATCAAAAATTTGGTCAGTATATGTTAATACATGTAGAGGTGGGAATTTTGATCATAGGATTGGCACATGTACAAAACCTTTTTTTGGTAGTGGTACATGGTATAAGGAAGATTGAGTAGTGTTTCTGATGACAATATTTTATACAGGAAGATAGTTAAATGATGAAGAACTAAACAACAAAATGTTTTGAAGAAGGGAATCTTTAGTTTTTCTATGGGAGTAGAAAAATTCATATAGAAGATAATTTAGGGAAGAAAACCACAATTCAGATAAGAACAAATGCCCTCATTAGTAAAAATAGGCTCTGCTTAGGAAAGAAAACCCTCCAGCCTAAAAATCTCTGGCAACAAAGTTCGTCATATTTCTGGTACTGTTACCAACTTCCTAATTTGATGAAGGCTCAAGAACAAAAAATTAGAAAGCTCCTAGCCACATCCAAGATATCAACAGCAGTTTTGATAAGAAAGATAGTCAAAGAAACTCAAATCACAGCAACCCCATCTAGTACTTTTTTCCTTATGATCTGCTTCAATGTCGACTTGGAAATCAGAGACCTATGATATTAACCAGTTTATGGAACACTAAAGAAGTATAAAAATATTGGCATGACTGTTGTCTGAAAAAGACTGATCTAACAGAAACATCACTGAAGAGCTATTATTAAGAAACAGAGAAGGCAGATACAGCTTGATTACTGGGGTCATGTGGCTTAGAATTCTAGTACATTGAAGTTAATTGTTGTCTCCAAAAGTAAAAAAGGTCAATTAATCTTGAAGGTAATTTAACAAACACTCAAGATTCTAGTACAACACACCTGAAAAAAAAAAAAGATGTGTTAACGTCTGGGAGGCCTGACAACCCTGAATGGTTGAGATAGAAAATTTGTGGGCTATGTATTACCAATTACATATGTTGACCTGGTTAACATGGTGAATGTAACTTTGATAAGTCAAACTATAATTCTACACAGATGAACAGCAGACAACACAATACATGGATCAATTGGGTATTTTACAACCCAAAGTTCATGGCAATGAACTTCTCATTAACTTAGTAGTGGAAAATATTAGGTTGTAGTGTTAAATCTTCCATATATTTCATAATTATTTTTACCAGCTTTATCTTCAAGTACAGTACAGAAACTTTTTGATATGATGATTTCTTTATTAGCATGGAGAACTTGTTTTATTAAAAACTAAAATATATGTATTTATTTCATTATTATATTCAATTTCTGATTTTTTTCTTTTTGTATTTTTTATAATTCTGAATTGTCATCTTTTTTTTAAAGAAATATTTACATTTTATATATTTGTACTAATATATATTTTTTTGTGTGTTTAGTCTAAGATATAGTATGTTTCACTGCCTAGTATTATTAAGTTATTTTCTTAAACAAAATAATTGCATCTTCTATTCCTTTTATTTGTTAAATAAGATATGTTAAAAAAATGTTTCTATCAGATTTCTGTAGAAAGACTTGACACTGCACTAAAGTTATTAAACTCTGTATTTAGATTTTTTCTTGAGTTTGAAAATATGTTGTTTTAGAATTTCCAAAATACTGAAATACATACAAAACTGACACAGGCATTTATTTGAGGGTGTAAAATGATGGGCAGGTGAGTGTATCAATCTTGAAAATAGTAGTTAAATTATTTTACCAAAATTTTCTTGAAAACCTACATTAAGTTATAACCTATCATCTACTATGTGTATTTCATCATACTTTTAGAATTAGTGTTTCATTATTTAGTATTTTAATATATTGCAACTCATCAAACTACGTATCATGCAAATGTAGAATATAATAGTAGTTTTCTCCTGCCATTTGGTCTAGACTCCTTTACTCAGTGTTATGCATCTTTAGGACTTTTATTAATACATCTGACAGAGATGGAACAAATATTAATTTTGCAATGAATCAGAAAGCATTTCCATCAATATATTTCTAACAATGTTACACAGGCATGATACTACTTGCATATGCACCAAACATAATATGTATTGCATCATCTAGCCCACTGGTGCTTTCTAATAGCTTCTAAACATAGCAGCATTTTTGCTGGTATTAAAGAGTGGGAATCCTGATAGTTGTAGTACAAGCAGTCTTTATCTATTTAAATAAAACATCATTCCCACCAATTGTATTGCTAGTGTATGCTAGAAATGGTCACAGTTGTGGCAGGGATACCAACAGCAAGCACAATTCAAACACCATTCTTAGTAGGGTATTGGGGTGCAAAGCACTGTCTCATGGCACCATGTGCCACATTTTTTTAAAGGGCCTGCAATGGCCATTTACTCATGCAGAACTTTAGATTGGCATACACATCCTTATTAAATTTTCAGAGAACAATGATGAAATAACTAGTTTAATATTATGATGTAACAAAATTTTATCTCGAGCCTGCAATGCATTTTAAATATATATATATATAGCCACATCTACTATCCAATCTGAAAATATTGAAATGTGATTGGATATCAGGAGCCAGATATCTAAAATCTGATCATAACTAGTATTTCTCCTATCTATTATCTGAAAACAATTTGTAATGAAAGAAAATATTAAATATATACATGTACTATATGCATGTATATAATATGTAACATATGTATATACACATACTAATTGAATGTTCTGTTCAAAAAAAGATTATGAAACACATTCAAATTTAGAAATAATTTCATTGGTACTTGCTATACAAAAACTCACATCTACTTAAATTCAGCTTTACTACAACATTTTTCACTTTACGTGTTCAATGTACAGGTATTAGATGGTTGTTACCAAACAGAGTTCAAGGTTTCATACTAATTATGAATAACTGAATTTGTATTTACAAACAAGTCATGTATCGATAAACAAAAACTCTATTTAGTCCTTTAGAATTTCATCATCTAAATGCTTTTTACTACACTCTTCATTCAAAAAATCACGCAGTGTTAAGCTACCTTCTTTAGGGTAGTATCCATATTTTATATCACCTGACAGCAGTTTTAACTTCCTCTCTCTTTTCATTCCATGCCGTGGCTCTGTTATGCCTTGGTAGACACCTTCTCCTGTAAATCTTGTGTTTCTCTCAATGTAATATAACAGAAGCTGAATAACATTAGGATTAGTTTTCCAACCAATAAAAGGCTGCATTTCTTCTTGATCAGGCAAATTTTTGAGATGTTTCTCTACAACAGAGACATTGTAAAGAACAATTGGTATTCCTTTCCAAACTTGTTCTCTAGTAAAACCCTGACCAAGTAAAAATTGAACAACTTTTTTAGCATTAAGTAAAGAAATACGATACATATTTGGATGAACCTGAAGACTTTGTTTTACCTCAACGTCAGATTTATTCAGTTGGATAGCAAGATAAGTTATACTTTCTTTACCTAAGCACCGATCTTCACCAAAGTACATAAACTTTTTAAAGTTAGTTGTAGAGCAACTGAGCATGTCCAAAGATACAGACACAAACCCGAGGGAGTTCAGCATTTGCAACCTTTGCTTAGCTTTATTTTGGTAATAAACAAGGAATAAAATTCTCTCGTAGGATTTCATGACTTGGAACTCAGCAACCCGATTTAATTCTTCCAATCTCTCTTTTACAGTTTTTGGACTAAGTGTAAAGATATTAGCACATTTATGGATCTGAGTGTTACTAATACCATACTCAGAAAGAAGGCCACTGGTTTCTTCTAAACTTTCTGCATTTACAGATAAAATACGAGGACATTTCATACACACTTCCCTGATATCCTTTCCACCAAGTTCTGGAATTCTATCCAATATTTGTAAAAGGTTCTTTGGATGAGAGATTAAAAGAAAGCTATTGGCTCTAATCTGTAAAAAACAAAATGTTATTTTACAAATCATATTATTAAAACAACTTTTTCAAATCTAAGACCAATTATGTGCAAGTTTATCCATTAAATCTTTTAAAATTTATATTTCTGATATGATTAAATATAGGAATTTCTCAAGATTTTAACAATTCAAGTTTTTATTTATAAAAACCATATGCTCCTTACTGTGACTACTAAAAGTTTCATTTACCCAATATAATGTAAAACTACAATTTTTAGAATATTAAGTTTCAATTTAGAAAAGAGAGGATACTTCAGGATAGTCATTACTTAATAACTGTACTTTGAAGGTCTCTTACTCTAAGACTTTTTACTATAATTTCCTTTTTATCATTGGAAGATGAACATTGCACATTATTTTAATTCTCAAGCAAACATAAATATTAATTATTCCTTTCTAATCAAAAGTGCCTAGATATTCAATGGGACTTGTATATTACACAAAAATTCAACTAAATGTTCATAAAAACATTTTAAACTTAAAAGAAAAGGGCATGTAGGAAAAACAACTAAATTGAAGTAGGTAGAAGAGGTCATGCCATACACAGATATGCAGTTTTTTTAAGTGTTTTGAATACTGTAGGATGTACAGTGTATAAAGAGTAAGCAGTATAATAAAAGTTTATTTTTAATGTTTTTTCTATAAGCAAAATACTATTACTTTTACTATTTACTAAGTAATTTAGTAGTGAAATATTTTATGTCCATTTATAGATTAAAGTTACAAAAATTTAAATCACTGTGCTCTACAATTCAAACCCTTCTGAACACTTACGCATTTCAGGTAACATATACCTTAAATTAAAATTTTTATCTCTTGTATGTCAATGTAGTAAGTTGCTTCACAAACGTATTGTTATGGACATCTGACTTCAATTATTCATGATTGAAATACAATTTAAAAAAAATATTATGAACAGTAAATAAATGGGAGTAAAATCTTCAAAGAATTCGCCCGTATTACCTATATGGCTTTTTGGAATACTGAAGTTAAAACCTCCTCAACAAATAACATTGAATGTAAATAAAAAACTTAGCTGAAATACAGAGAAAGCAAAGTACAGGCTACAGGTCAGTATCCAAAAATGAATAGCATCAAAGTTGAAGCTAAAAACCTACAGGTCAGGAAATAGGGAAGTGGCAATAAAGGCAATTTATATCTATTACTGTATTATAGTGACAAGCTAGAAGTTGTGGCCCATGTGGCTTAAATATTTCTTTAATAAAATTTTAACCTATCAGTTTCTGGTACACCTCTTTCCATGAAATACATTCATGTGTTATCCACCATTTACTAACAACATTTAGGTTATTTGGAAATATTAATATATATATATATATATATAAAGTGTTACAATGTCTTTTTCTAAAATTCTACATTTTAAAAAAAAACTGAAATCGAGAGTAACAATTACATATAGTTGAATTGTAAGCCAAATTCACTAATTGGCTGCTAGAATATTAACTTGGAAAGCAAAGGATGGCCACAACAAGTAAAAGACAAATCAGTCATATTAAATCCCAGGTAATTTTGGTGAAATAAGATTAAAAGTTAAGCAATTTATCGGAAGAAAATAACTAAAATAAATGACAAATAAACTACTATAACAAGACAGAAGAGTCAATACATCTACTGATTAAAGATATAACACTTAACTATTCAGCTAACACTGAAGAAATGTTGTATTCAAGACTCATAAAAAAAAACATTTACAAGGAGAGAGAAGAGAGTGAAAAAAGGAAGAGACCAGTCACAAACCTTATCAATCCCTACAATGATCAGGCTGTTAAAAGAATGAGCTGATTAAAAATGTTCCAACCTTACAAAACCTAGTTTAGCAGGTTTCAATAAACATTCATGATTTTTATGTTTCCTTCTATTAGCAATCATTTCAACTACAGGAATGTATGTGGAATCATAAAGATATGGTTTTGTGGTATTCACCGATGACGTAAAACGAAAAAATCATCATGAGGTGAATTAAATGTGCCATCACTTCACTCTGTTTAATGCATATTTATTCAGCGGAATTTGTGATAAATGATTATCTATCATATAACAGTTATGAGCAAGTACACATAGAAAGTGGTTTGACTAAACATATCTCCTTGCTTACTTTCCATAATCAATGTTATGTATGAGGATGATGGTTTTCCAGTACCCATTTCAATTGTCCATTCACAAGGAAATCCACTGGCTCTGTGTCCAGTGATTTGACTGGTATGTCTTCTTCTGGAATAGTATGAATACCTGTTTCATTTTCCAGCAGATTCAGGTATGTGACAATTGAATGGATATGTCATGAAAGCAATTTGTGTACACATGAATGATGTGAAGTTTTGGAACAGAATCATTCTAGATTATGTTTGTGTGTTGTTTACTGGAACACAAGGATGGCTTCTGCCATTGATATTTGTGTTTGTGGATTTCCATCTGTTACCAAATGCCATACTTTTCTTACCACTCCCGTGCTACAACTTTTGCAATTTTTTTTTTATCTTTGGGCTCTAAGATGATTCATATTCCTTTGTTTTGAAATGTCATTTAGTAGAAGGGATATATCCATCTTGGAAACTATAAATCTCCATCTGAACATACCTCTATGACCTGAGTGTAGGAATATAGTATGTTGGAAATAGTTGCTACATACTCTTTCTAAAAGAGAGCAATTTTCAGTGGCATCACACTACCCATGAAAAGTCAAATAATATCAAAATATAGTCCTGATACATGTTGTTCCATAGCGACTTTATATTGGTTGTAGTTGTCATGAGACTTGATGATTCTCATATTCAAACTCATTTTAATGTACTCAACCTTCTGTATTTTTCTGGTATAGGACAGGCTAAAAAATCAATGTAACCAGTCTTTATTACACTAGAATTGTTTAATAATTGCCTTTATGCACAAAAATTTCACTGGAAAAAGTCCCTGTCATTTTAAGTGGCTTCAAATCAATTCTTTAAATTGTTAATAACTTATCTAATAGATTTAGGTAAGTTTTTTCCTTAGCAGAACTAACTATGTTTTTTACAATTATTTTTTATTAATGTAATATAACATTAAGGAAAACAGTTGACTCACTGGTACATCCAGACTATCCCATCCACTAAACTAAATTATACAAAAAGAAATATTTAACTAAATATTTATCAAGCCTTCTCTTAAATTCCACTACAACTATAGTTGAAGATGGCCCCTACTCTGTCAAAATTTGTATTTGTGTCTCATAGTTCTACCATTCTCTCCATTATGTACAAATATATGATGCATCAAACTGTCAGTTCTCTTAACAACCTGAAACACCTCAATAACTAACTCAATACCTCCTAACTCATTTTTCTTTTCTAGAAAAAGCAAGACCCTAACTTATCCTCACATGACAACCTCTCCAATGAAGGTAGTCCCTCTGTGAACCCTTTTCAATAATCCATGTTCTTTCTAAGGTAAGGAGCCCAAGACAGGATACAACACTCCAAATGTGGCCTAACCAATGACTTGTACAATATAATTATAAATAATTACTCTTTTTTTTTTTCAATATTTATTTACATACAACCTAAAACCCTATTTACTATACCACTACCAACAGCATATGGCTTGGATGGTATAATAGACTGACCAACCTGAACACAGATCTTTTATTTCCATAACACTTTTAAGGTTATTCCTATCACAATAATACTAATAATTCACCTTGCATTTATTATAATGAAAAGCCATTTGCCTTTTATTGCCCCAACTCACCAAACAATATAAATCCTTATGCAGAACAGCAGCATCCTCACAGCTAGAAACAGCCAAGACTTTAATATCATCTGCAAGTCTAAGCACTTTATTGACCATTCCTTCATTTACATCACTGATGTAAATCAAAATAAGAGAAGATCATAACTCTGAGCCCTGAGGTGCTCCACTCGTGAAACTAATCCAGTTTGACTGAGCTCCATTTATAAAATCTCTCTGCTTTCTTCCATCAACCCAATTTTCTATCACATGAGCCAACTTATCCCTCATACTTATAGAGATAAGTTTTTACCAAGTTTTTTGTGGCACCTTGTCAAATGATGCTTCCTGAAAATCTAGTTATACCAAATTCACACCTTTACCCTCATCTAAATAAGCAATAACATGTTTAAAAAATCTCAAGAGATTAGTAAAGCAAGACCTTCCCCTGATGAAACATGTTGACTATCGAAGAAAACTTTTTAACTTTGTTAAATGACTTTGCAAAGCATCTTTTATCTTTCAAAAACTTTTCCCATTATTCATGTGAGACTAATAAACCTACAGTCACTGGGACAATTTTTATTATCTCCTGTGAGGTGCAACTTACTAGTTTTGCTAAAACAGAGTAACTGGGTTCTCCTGATGAGGCTGTAATGGCAAAACTTTGAGAAAACCAAAATACATTTCATTTTCTAAAGTATAGCCATATATAATCATTTAATTATGTCAGAAACTCTTCAGTGAATTACAAACACTCCCATTTCAAAAACTTTCCTAATGTTTCTGTACTTAAAGGATCAAAAATTGAATCTTGTATTTAAAATGGATTCTCAACATTCCTAGTCTATCCAAACAATTTGCAGAATATTTATTAACTACAAGCATGAGTTTAAAGTTTCCATAGTGATGCTGATGCATTTCTTCCTTATCTCTTAAAAATCTTTGAAGCTACATTTTGGGAGAATTTGGATCCCACAAAATCAAATGACTATATCTATTTACCTCTTGAAAACAACTGTTTACTATGTGAACATTTCACTTTGTTTCCAACTTTTGCATGGTCAGTCTTGTAACTGAAACTGCTAATGTAGTTTTTTACTTTTTTTTTTGCCTGATAGGTTTTTTTAGAGTTTAACTACTGTGCATATATATATATATATATATATACTTCCCTAAGTACAACAGTGGTCACTATGGCATTACATAAAATTATCTATTTGGCATGAACAACTACTGTTCATGTCAATATTGGTACTAAATTAGATCTACAACCTTGATATCAACTTGAAGATAAATGTACAGAGCAGCAAATAACCCTGGTTCATCAGTTTCATAAGTACTGCATGCTGGTGCTTCCATTTTCTGCCAAAACTTCAAGTGATAGTTCAGTAGAGTTGAATAGAGGAAGTCACATGCTTCAGGAGGGTGTCTCGCATTCCTATTGGTGGAGGGTTGTACCATGATGATTTACATGTGAGAAGCAGTTGGACCATGTTCATTGTGGGATACCTGGGGGCTCAAGGTTTGTGAAAATGTTTTTTGGATATAGAGGGCAGCACTGAACAAGAATGGCTATTTATGTGATTGGAAGTAATGTACTGTATTGTAATTTCAAATGGCACTAGACCTAGAGTATTATTTATACTTTGCAAAACTATCTGAACAATATTAGTAATAGTGACTCTTCTCAAGTTTACCCTCTTTATTACATAGATGATGATTACCACATCTACATTCTTGTATGCCTGCATTAAACAGCCTTTAAATTTATTAACTGTTCTTGAAATACAACTTTATAATTGTTTACAATAAATGAATATTGAGAACTATTTCAGGACTCATTCTTAAGGACTGACAGTTGTTTCTGACTGGATGATTTTCAGTATGAAGTCAGGTATATTTCTGCACTATGAGCAGTTAAAAGCATTGTTCATAAGGCTGCACGATGCCAATAAATTTTTGCAACAGACAAAAGTTATTTTTATTGCTTCCTTTGTTTCATGATAATTTTGAGAATGCTGGTAGATAAAACATAATGGATGGATATTACTTCAAAATTTAAAATAACACCAGTTCAAAGAGATGTTCATATCTACAAGGTTAACCAGACATTACAGCCCATATTTTGTTTATAAAAATCTTCATGAGTAATCTGTGAAAGAGCTTTTTTTTTTAATAATAGTATATTGGTACAGAATATGTGAAGCAACTAGACAATCATAAAGGAATCCCATGATCTTTTTGATGGATTGTACTATTCTTTTTTAGAAAGATAAAAATGTGTAAACTTTGTGGGAAAACAACTGGTTTCAGAAAAGAGTAGACTGGGATTGAATCAAGAGAATTGAATCCAATAAATAAACTGTTGAAATGTGTTTACAAAGGCATCTTATTGTGAGAAACCTCCAAACAATAAACTAGCCTATTGTTTCAGTAAATCACAATCACAAAAAAAAACATTCATATTACGGCATATTGTTTCCAAGAATCTGTTTTCAATGGTACATTTGTATATTACAATTGATAAAATCACACGTGATATGTCAAAAGTACCAATTTATGATCAGCAGCATACCACAAAATGAAAATACGAGAATTACAAGAATGCAGGATTAGCACGCAAGTTTTTTGTCCAGAACATTTTAGTCTTAGTGTGGCCAACCATTTTGCTGGACATAAAGGATTAATTATAGCAAAGATTGAAATACTGTAATGGGGAACACTAAGATGATGAAAACTACCTAGGTCCTAATGCCATCATTTTTTTCTTTAGTACAAGATAGAAATTTTGTTGTCAGACATAAAGATGCTTACAACAAAACACCTTTAATGCTACTGAATCAATAATCTTACAGCCAGATCACAAGTATTAATATCACTATATTCTTTCCAAAGGCTGTCTATACAGCAATATGTTAATAATTAAAAAAATTATGGCCAACCCAATAAGGTTGGTAAACTAGAGAATTAATTTTGTTCTCCTGCTTTAGATGTGCTTCATTTTAATCTATCAATTTAATAGAGCAAGCAAATGGAGCATTTTTTATACAGTTACATGTATCTACTTAAAACTAAAGGTACATTACTTAATACTGTTGTTTGATACAGGTATATCAAATTAATATACACAAAAAAACAAAAATCTATAGTACATATACTACAAGAAAGAAAATTTTACAGGTGTCATCCAGATACAGATGAAACTAAAACCATCAGTTGTACTATATATGATCAAACGGACAGAAAAGAGAACACTGTTCTTTGTCTTTATTAAGAGGTATATAATCTATAAATTATGCCTTTTGAAAGGAATTTTTAACAGTGCTTCCACAGGCCAGGCATCCAGGATTTTGCCGGAACCTAATTTTTCAAGTCATTTCAAATTGTATTTTTATTGGGTAAAATTTTTACCAAAACTTGATTGGACAAAAAGCATGCAACTGTCGCATCCTTTGTGAAAATCAGATCCAACGGCTAGCCACACAACAGATATATCGACATTCAGTGAGAAAGTGTACTGATCTTGCATTGATAAAGCAGTGTTAATATATGAAAAGAAGAAAATGGCTTGTAGGTACAAAGTACGTATGTGCGGTACTTGTGGGAAATGCCCTCGATGTCAGTGTGGAAGCGACAGTTTAGACCCAGAGGTTAAAATGACATGAAAAGTAGGTGAGAAACAGCTGGAGAGCAAATTAAAAGCACAAAAAAAGAAACAATGATGGATTGATTATGCTATTCCATTGGAGAACGAAATGAAATGTCTAGTGATACTTCTGAGGATCCCTTGGATTTTGTGACACCAAAGAAACGACACAGATCATCCAAGAACTCAAGTGTGAAAGCAAGGTGTTCAAAGTATTGTCACAGTACTCCAACAGGGAGCAAGAATGATGTCTGTTCAATTCGGCAGTTCTTTGGTATCGAATCCACAGTAACATTAAACTTTCCAAATGAAGAAGCTCGATGGAAGGTATCAAGTTTCAGTGCTCTTGACAAGAACAACCGATTGCTTGCATTCTGTATGACTGTATTAAGAATTCTATGCACCATGTTACTCCCAGGAGATCTAGATGGTTTTATGAATGCAATTGGAAATGAAATTTATAAGAAATCTGATGATACAAAACTATTCTCATCTGCCAATGAAGTGTAACACACTCTACCAGAGAAATGTATTCAAAGAAAAGTTATACTTGCACTGCTACATCAGTCGATGACATTCATAGAAGTGAAAGAGAGATTGAAGATTGGAGAACAAGCTTTTGAAACGGCTAGACAGTACTTTCGTAGACTGAAGTATGGGTTTCAGCTAGATCTACAGTACGATCTGCTCAGCATTACTGTAAACGAGCTGCACTGAAAGCAGTAGAGTTCATCTTGAGCCCAATCAATGTGAAAGTTTTATCTTGAGGAACAAAAAAGGTTGAAGTGGATGGTAAAACAATTGATTTCCCTTGCTTAATTCATCAGAAAATAGCAGAGTACGTTTACTGTGACTATTTGGAATGGTTCCCAATGCAACAGATAGGACATTACATGGCTCTTTCACAAAAGTAGTTTCTGCATTGACATCATTCAACCAAAAGGTGCAAAAAGCTGTTGAATATGCCACTGGTATATTGTTATATGACAATCTTGGTATTTTGGTATGTATCATTGGTCGAATTCAAGTGGAGGCTGTAAAGCAAATATCCTGCAAAATGCTAAAAAGGCTTGAACATTTCTTCAAGTATAATTTTGATACTCACATTGCAAGTGATTGTGCAGCCAGTCACAACATCCAATACACACTTGACTGTGCAGCTTCTGAAGCAGGTGCTGATATTGTCAGTAGTTGTCAGAAATGTCAGGTGCTGTTTCATATGATACATTATTTGCTGAAGGATGCACCTTCAGATTGTTATGGACTGCCGAAGGATTATGTGCACAAATTCAAATTGTTTTTGTCTCATTGTATTCGAGTGGAGAAGCAAACTTGAAGGATTCAATCAATTCATGATAACCTTGCATCCAATGAAACGTTATTGTCATGGGCTACAAAATGAAGTATGAATCCGAGTATTTCCACGAGAAAACTATTGAACATTATGGAAACCAAGGGCTGAGTTGCATGG